TCCAACCCATGCTGGAGTCATTCAGGGGACCCACCTTTTTTAATGTTGTGAGGTGTGGGGGTTGTAGGGTTGGTTCTGTACTCACCTGGTAAGGCTCCTGGCTGTGCTTGCAGGGTTTGAGCTCTGGCTCTTGGGTCCCGCCTATCTGGTAGAACTTGCGGGATAGTACCAGTGGAGTGCAGTGGTGCTATTGGCACATTTGGGGAACACTGTATTACCATCAGAGGTCTGTGCTTGTTACACGACCTACTTGCGAGCATAAGCTTTCTTGCTGGTTCGTCCGTGGACTTCCAGGGCACACTAGCCTGTTTTCGTATAGCAGTTCCGGCCCATCCTGGTTGTGAGGGTATGTGGGCCGGTGGACTGCTCTTAGCAGCTGCCTGGTGGGCCACCCTCTGGCCGGTCTAGCCTGGCCTTGGGCCGGGCTTGAGGTGTAAAAGAGCTCCCAGTACCTCCAGCAGGTATCGAGTGGGGTTTCTCCGCCATCGGTCGCCTGGTGCAGGTTTCTGGGCCTGCGGGGTTTTGTCGTGTCTCCGTTGGCCCTGTCTGTGGTCTGCCTGCTCCGTTCTCTGCCTTTGCAGAAGGGAGTTGCTATTTACATGTTGCATGTTGCAGTGGTGCCTGTTGCTGCTGCTGCACGTGTGCATTGGTACCGTGTTTCACGGTGGCGTGTCCTTGTTCCTGTGTCCGGTTGTGGAGTGGCACTTTGCTGCTGTTTTGTGTATGGGGATTGCGTGGGGGTTTTTCTGTCCCTGCCTGATTGTCCACCCCTGGTTGTTTTCCTGGGGTTTTTGTGCTTCTGCTCTTTCTTCCTGCCGCCTCTGCAGCAGGGGTGTTCTGCGTGTGTTCTTAGGCATTTTTCAGCCTGTGTCCTGTGATGTGCTTCTTTGTCTCGGTCTATTGCAGTTGTTCGTACCCCTTGGTTCGGGTACTGTTCTGGCGGCGACCCTTCCGCCCTCTTTGGTTTCCTAGCTTGCCCTGCCATTTTTTTTTTTTTTGGGGGGGGGTCTTGCGATGTCTCGCGTCGGACCCGTCGTTTCTGAACTCCTGGTGGGCTTGCATGCTTTGGGGAGTTTTCTGTTCGGCAGACGTTCCATCTCCTTGTGTTGCCTGGGTTTCGGTGGTCGCGCCCGAGATCTTCCCGCGGCTTCGCCTTTTCCTGGGCTCGGAGGGGCCTTGTCGGGGCTTCTTATGTTCTGCCTCGCGGTCTCGCCTCCGGTTGGTGGTCGGGTGGCTTCGGTTGGTGGTCGGGTGGCTTCGTGGTAGGTGTCCCACCTGCGTGCTTCTCTTGGCGGCAGTATGGGGTATTTTGGCGGTCCTTCCTTTTCCTGTCCCTTCTTAGGTGGTTACTCTTGTTAGCTTGGTTTACTCTCGGCTTAGTTTTCTGATGGGGGGTTGGGGGTCGTCGTCTTGCCACATACTGTCGCCTCTTTTCATGCGGCGCAGGCGGAGCCGCTTCAGCTTGCTTTCGGTCTTGGTGTTGCTTCTGCACCGTTAGTAAGCTGTCTTGTGCGTCGTTTCACCTCCGGCCTGTTCGTGCGCCGCTTGCACCATCCTGGTCTCTGGTCAGCGTGCTCTGTCTTCTCCTCGGTTGGTAGTGCCCCTTCGGTTCCGGTGTGTTTTTTCGTCGGCTCTTTCCTTTTGGCCTTTGCCTCAAGAGGGTCGAGTCGCTGAGTTTTCTTGCTCCTTCGGTTTTAGCGTTTTGGTTGTTCGGTGGCAGCAGTCTCCATCTTTTCTGGCGCGGGGTGGGGCTGCTGCATTCTGGAGGGGTCCAGGGTTTGTTGGTGCTTCGTTGGTCGGGCCGGGGGGGTGTCGTTTTTTTGTGTTCAGTGGCGGCCCTCCGCTGTTGTTTGCGTGCCACGGCGTTTGGGTCCGGAGCGCATTTTGCGTTGATCCAGTTCTGTTCTTCCCGGTTCGCGGGTGATGGTGTCCCGAGTGGTCAGCCGTGTTCTTGCGGCTAAGCTGCCTGTGTTCTTCCCTCATGCCTGTGGTATTCGTGGCTTCGCTGCTCTCGCTGCCGTCTGGGCGACGTGGCCTAGCAGTCTTTCGGGCATGGATTTTTGGGGTTCGTGTAGGGGCCTTGCTGCTCGTTGTTCTCGTGTTGTTTCCGGGACTTTTCGGGACTGTGGCGCCTTGGGTTGGCGTTTGCTGCCGGTTGTCTCGCCTCCGTGGTGGGTGCGTGGTGTCCGCCTCCCGGTTGTGTCCCTTTGACCTTCCTCTGTAGGTAGTTAGCTCCAGGGAGCCGACGGGGCTCCCCCCAGAAAACCAGCGTTGAATGTAATGAAACGCCATTTTCTGGGTGAGACCCGGAGGCTCCCCGGCAACCCTCCCTCCCTCCCTCCGGTCGGCGGTTTTTCGCGTGTTTTGACATCCAGCCTCAGAACTGATGGGTGGATAGCCGGCGTGGGAGGTCTGGGGCTCCCCCATCCCCCTCCCGGGGAGGGGGGAGCTGCGCAGACAGCGGCGCGGTGACGTATGACGTCATACTAGTTTCCTTGTTTTCTGTTGAAGAGTTCTATCCACTAGTTCGGCTTTAGGTAGCAATTTTCACCAGAATAGGGGTTTGTTTTGGAATGCTTATCTTTCTGGATGCTTGACCCGGCCGATGGCAGACATAGAATGCTTCCAACCACACGGGGGTTTCTATAGGCCATTGCTCCCCTTGCCTCTCTGAGGGGGCCAGGTTCTGGCCGTGGTCCCCGGTAGGCCCTAGAACTCCATACACATGACTGATGCCAAAGTCTGACAATAGCATATCAGCCGGTAAAGCTCCGGGGAGCCTCTGGGTCTCACCCAGAAAATGGCGTTTCATTACATTCAACGCTGGTTTTTTGAATGACGCAAAAGTTGGACAGCTTTTCAATTCATTAGGGAGCGAGTTCCATAGACTGGGATCCCTTTATTTGCATAGTGTGTTTACACAGACTAAGTTTGACTCTGGGGATATCAAAGAGATATTTATTTCTGGTGTGGTGATAATGGGTCCTATTACATCTGTCCAGGGAGAGTTTCAGAGCAGGATTTGCATTTAAGAACAGGGTTTAAATAATTAGAAGTAGAATAAAGATCACTAGGTAGCCATGAAGGATACACAAGTTTGGTGGAGAAAACAAAAAATCAGTAGAGACTGTCAAGATTAATATATAACAAAAATAATGAAACAAATGATAATTGTAAAGTAAAATAATCTTAAAGATATTTAATTTTATTTAGCTTAGTTTTGAACCTATAATTAGTATGAACTTAAAAAAAAAATGAGATCAATAATTAATTTCAATAAATGACATAAATCAGTACAATTAAATTTAAAATTTAAAAAGAATAGGGTAAGATTAGATTTAAGAGTAAAATTTTACAATGATACTGAGGTAGATGCTTGCATAAGTGCATGGAGACGTGACTGATTACTTAGGAACTTATATGAATGAGAGAACATTAGTTAAACGGTAAGGCAGAGACAGCACCTTGGACAAGGTTAGATTAAGCTAGGTTAGGCTCAGACACTCAGAGTTATTTTCAGTATTGGGATTGGTCGGGTTCAGGTTCTCAGATATACCACAATCACTAAAGAAGGCCAGTAGCTGTTGGCCATAAACAACAATGACCACACATAGCACACAATGACCACATAAACCACACAATGACCACATAAACCACACAATGACCACATAAACCACACAATGACCACATAAACCACACAATGACCACATAAACCACACAATGACCACATAAACCACACAGTGACCACATATACCACACAATGACCACATATACCACACAATGACCACATAAACCACACAATGACCACATAAACCACACAATGACCACATAAACCACACAATGACCACATAAACCACACAATGACCACATAAACCACACAATGACCACATAAACCACACAATGACCACATAAACCACACAATGACCACATAAACCACACAATGACCACATAAACCACACAATGACCACATAAACCACACAATGACCACATAAACCACACAATGACCACATAAACCACACAATGACCACATAAACCACACAATGACCACATATACCACACAATGACCACATAAACCACACAATGACCACATATACCACACAATGACCACATAAACCACACAATGACCACATATACCACACAATGACCACATAAACCACACAATGACCACATAAACCACACAATGACCACATAAACCACACAATGACCACATATACCACACAATGACCACATAAACCACACAATGACCACATAAACCACACAATGACGACATAAACCACACAATGACGACATAAACAACAATGATAGTTAATCATAGTCATATACTCGATATACTTGTATATCCTTGTCAGGACCAGGAAACTTGTTAACCTTATTCGAAATGGGTTTGAGTTTCTTCTTGGAGGATGTGTTTTTTTTAGTTTAACTGTATTAACTTTTATTAAGTTTAACTTTTATTGTCTCTGTAGTACAGTTAAGTTCGTTTTCGACTCTCACTCGGCAATCCCGGGTTCGAATCGCATACTGGGCAGAAATGGTTGGCTACGGTTTCTATCACTTAATGCTTCTGTTCACTTAGCAGTCAATAGGTACCCAGGAGTTAGATTGGTGTGGGGTCAAGCACCTGTACATTGTTTCCATCCAGGAACAATGGACGGGCGTTTGACAAGCTGCCGAATTCCTGTCCCACTCGTAGCCACTAGAGAGATGGTAGTCCTCTGGTAAATTCAAGTAAAATAGCAACTATTCAGCCGCGATACCTGTCCAGCGGTCGAGGGAAATCTACAGCATCTAAGAAACAAGTTTTTAAATGGTCTTAATTTGCAACCATATAACTTTGTAAGATCAAGCAGATAGTAATAAAAAGAGAGGTGGTAGGAGAAGGGAGTGAGACAAACGGCAAGATTTTATCCAAACGCTCTCGATTTCCGTCGCTAAGGGTATGGGTGTCCACACCAGAGGCGGCAGCTCGCTTATATAATAATAATAAGACAATCCCACAGGTTTTGCGGCAGGCGTGTCACGGCATCGAAGACCCCTTACTGCCAGTGCCCGCACGAGGACTCCACCCGTGTACAACACTGGAGGCTCCAGAGGTTGTGGGCCTGCACTTCCCCGCCCCACAACCCGCCCAGATAGTCTCCGTGTCTGGAGCGGGCGACTGGTGAGTAATAATAATAATAATAATAATTTTTATTTAGGTAAGGTACATACATAAAGAGATTTTACAAAGTTTGTTGGCTTTATAGATAGAGCTAGTACATACAATGCCTAAAGCCACTATTACGCAAAGCGTTTCGGGCTTGAGTGTGTGGGGCTCTCTATATTATAGCAACAAATGCCAGGGAAGGATTCTTGATGCTATCATATAAACCTATCAAGGAGTGACTTTCGAACGTCGTAGATTTCTTAGTCCTTTCCAAACAATGAAATAGGATAATTTGATGATATATATTTAATAATAATAATAATGACAATAATAATATTCCTGTAGACATATATTATTTAATGTGACCGAAAGGGTAAGATCAATGATTCTAGCATGAAGCTTATCTATTTTCTGTCCAGCCACTTGGGCTCGACGGTTGAGCGACGGTCTCGCTTCATGCAGGTCGGCGTTCAATCCCTGACCGTCCAAGTGGTTGGGCGCCATTCCTAATTCCTCTACTGTCCCATCCAATTCCTTATCCTAACCCCTTCCAAATGCTGTATGGTCGTAATGGCTGGGCGTTTTCTTCTGATAGTTCCTTCCTTCCTTATCTATTTTCTTTACATTTTTCTTCACTTGAAAATAAAAAGTTTTAAAAAATTAACTCTTCAAAGTTCATTTTTTTTTTTAGTTTTATTTGGCCTGACGCTAAGAAATGCGTTTCGTTAACTCATGTCAACATTATCAAAGGCAGAGTTCTAAACCCGTTAACCATCTAGTTAACAGGTTTAGAGCCTTATAAATAATAATTACTTATGTTATTCATTTAATTCCTACAGTTTGGCGGGAGGATTCATCTGCGGGATGCTGGGAGGGATGAGTATGAGTGAGTGCGGGGCGGTGAGTGTGGCAGCTGCCTCACTCTCTCTCACCGCCTCTCCCGCCGTCCCCACCACACTCTCCCCTGAGGCTCTCCCCTGGGGCACCCGCCAACCCTTCACCCTTGTAACTCATGACTAGCAACGCTGTAACTGTTGACTAGCAACGCTGTAACTGTTGACTAGCAACGCTGTAACTGTTGACTAGCAACGCTGTAACTGTTGACTAGCAACGCTGTAACTGTTGACTAGCAACGCTGTAACTGTTGACTAGCAACGCTGTAACTGTTGACTAGCAACGCTGTAACTGTTGACTAGCAACGCTGTAACTCATGACTAGCAACGCTGTAACTGTTGACTAGCAACACTGTAACTGTTGACTAGCAATGTTGTAACTGTTGACTAGCAACGTTGTAACTGTTGACTAGCAACACTGTAACTGTTGACTAGCAATGTTGTAACTGTTGACTAGCAACACTGTAACTGTTGACTAGCAACACTGTAACTGTTGACTAGCAACACTGTAACTGTTGACTAGCAACGTTGTAACTGTTGACTAGCAACACTGTAACTGTTGACTAGCAACGCTGTAACTGTTGACTAGCAACGTTGTAACTCATGGCTAGCAACGTTGTAGCCCACGAATGACGACACTGTAGCCCACGGATGACGACACTGTAGCCCACGGATGACGACACTGTAGCCCACGGATGACGACACTGTAGCCCACGAATGACGACACTGTAGCCCACGAATGACGACACTGTAGCCCACGAATGACGACACTGTAGCCCACGGATGACGACACTGTAGCCCACGGATGACGACACTGTAGCCCACGAATGACGACACTGTAGCCCACGGATGACGACACTGTAGCCCACGAATGACGACACTGTAGCCCACGAATGACGACACTGTAGCTCACGAATGACGACACTGTAGCTCACGAATGACGACACTGTAGCCCTCGAATGACGACACTGTAGCTCACGAATGACGACACTGTAGCCCACGGATGACGACACTGTAGCCCACGAATGACGACACTGTAGCCCACGAATGACGACACTGTAGCCCACGAATGACGACACTGTAGCCCACGGATGACGACACTGTAGCCCACGAATGACGACACTGTAGCCCACGAATGACGACACTGTAGCCCACGAATGACGACACTGTAGCTCACGAATGACGACACTGTACAATGTAAAATGATTACAGAGTTTCAGATAAAGTGTCAAGTGTGTGTCGGAGCTGAGGACTCTTGAATGGTCACAGTTCAGCACTTTGCATTACAGTGTCTGAATTGGTCTTGAGATCAGTCTTGAAGGATAAATTTGTAATCTGTAATTGATCATGTCTTCTATTGCTAAATTGAGTTATGTTATCATGTATTTAATAAGCAAGATTTAGGTGATCTTTTGACCATATGTTAGATTAATTAGGTTCGTATTCTTGTGTTTGTGTATTGCAGTAGTTGTATTAATTTCTTGAAACTGTATGAGATATAATTTTCTTGTACAAAATATATATAAATTGTGACGTTAGCGTATGGAACGTTTAATATTCGCTGGGTTTGGCCTATTTTATATGTAACTATCGTATTTTGTATTCGACCAATGTGCGGCAAATATAGTTCACTTTGTAGTAATTTTTATGTCTCATTAGGTTCTTAGAAGTCATGGCTATTACTGTGTTGAGAGTGTATTGACCCGACAGTCTGTTATTAGTGACCGAAATTGGTATGGGGGTTTCCAGTTATATTATAAAATTAAGTTTTTTCCTGGCAACTTGGGTAGACAAACTGTTCCATAGGTATGTGATTATGGAAGAATTAGTTTGTGTTGTTTGGTGTGGCCGCATGTGTCACGACCCTGGACCCAAGATTGCACTCTGGCAAAGGGACCCAGGAGCGTATTGCATTACTTTACGAAAGCCGGACAGGCTTTTCCCGAGGCTCCTCTTTATTTGGTGCTCCCTTCTTTACAGTTAATAGGAAGGATGGGGTAATCGGATCACTCGCTGTCGGGACCCCCCCCCTAGACGCCTCGTTGTCAAGGTGGTCGCGAGAAAAGTCAGGTAGGAAGCTGTTAGCGTGTTGATGAACAATCGACTTGGTATTGGGGACCCACATGGCGGGATCCCAAAGCTGTTTATGTATTCGCGAATAAATGCTGAATTGATTACCGGACCCGGTGCTCATTTTGGATGAGTTTAACTATAAAGATGCCCTCTGAAGCGATATTCTTACCAATACCCTGAATGGTTGTCTTTTAGAATCTTTTCTTCTCTCTTCAAACTTGTGTCTCCCAAATTCAGGCGAGCCAACTCATGTCGACTCGCACAGTTGCACTCTTTTTCTGTGTTGATCTTTCTCTCTGCTCCTCTTTCAAAGACACCTGACATGGTGCCTTTGACGTCCACCATAACAGTGATCATTTTCATATCCTCAAACCTCTCTTTACTTACCTTCTCTCTTTTTCCCCAGTGGAGACTTGTTAAGGCAGACAGAAATTTTTTTCTGCTCTGCTGGGGACCACTGGATGGATTTTTGCGTTTTAGGTGGAGCCCAAGTATTTGCATTGCTGCCCAAAGTTCTCTGTGTGGGGTAATGACCGGTACCTACCTTCCTGAGGGACTCCTGGGGCTCCCCAATCATCTGCCCATCAGTGTGTTCATTCGCTGCAAGGCGCATTTGTTTCCGCCATCACGCGACATTCATTTAGCCATTAGGCTTTGCGATTTACCGTTTAAGGGTACACCCGGGAGCATCCCATCCCTCGTCGTCGCCCCTAAACCACCTTAGGCAGCAACAATTGAGGTGGCCTTGACGTCATTGCGGTGGACGCCAAGAAAACCCACAAGTTGCCTTTGTTATTAAATTACGTATATCACATTTCCAGTAGGTTTTATGAGTGCCTTCTAAAATGTTAATGTATTTTGTAATTATGTTAGGAGGCATAACCAGCCATTAATTAAAGCAATAAAAATAGTCACATGTACTAAAAGACGCCATTTTGAGATCTAGAAATGAATCCTAGAACGGTATATTTATCATTCTGGTATTCATATATATTTGCTCGGATGTCATATCTTAATGGATGTATAATGTGTTATTGATGCAATTATTAGTATGTTTTCGATTTGTTTTAATTCTCAATGTGGATTAGTACAATAAGCTCTTGCCAATGAGTTGTACTTTTATTTTTATTATAACCTCTGTTTAATTCATGTTTTTCTTAGTTTACCAGATAATTCTAAATGTCATCTTCGTAGACTTGGATATTATAAGAAATGATCTTCCTGAGGTTTGTTTACAAGACTTTGCATATGGGGCATAACAATGCTCCTTAACTACCAAATCAGCAACAATACATTGCAGCAGATTGATGAAGAAAAGGCTCTTGGAGTAGGAATATATCCTTCAATGAAAGTTGCCCAACAAGTGGGAGCGGCAGTAAAAAATAAAAGCCTATCAAACTCTAAAAATAGTTAAACGAACCTTTGACTTGAAGGAAAAGGTCAACTGACGTTTAGTGGTTTTATTTCAATGGTGCGCTGGATTACCACGCATAGAGACCTCATCTTCAGAAAGACACATCTGCCCTGGAGAAAGTTCAACACCAGACGACAAAAATTATTCTAGAACTAAGTCGACTCTCATGCCAGGAACGGTTGAGGCCACAGTGCTGTACGTCTTCAAACCAGACATGACATCTAATCTAATCGAAACCTTTAAAATACTGAGCAGTTTGGAGGGCATTGATTCAGACCACTTACTGAAAAGTCAGATGTAACAAACGAGGAGCAACAGTTTCTAGTTCAGTAAGCCACGTTGTAGGACGGGAAGCAGGTGATGCTTTCTCAGCCATATGGTTAGGAATCAATGGAGCCGCCTACCCGCCGAAGCCGTTAATGCTAAAACACTAATGAATTTCAAAATCTAGCTCGATAAAATCAAGAAAAATTGTGGTGGGACCTTTGACAAGCTGCCGGCTTCCTGTTCTTGTTGAGGCCACTGGAGAGAGAGATAGTGACCCTCAGGCAAATTCTGGTAAAATTCAGGTATTGCTTAGTGTCACAGTACTGATATAATCTGGCAACCCTGCCGGTAACTACTAGTTTTTGCTACCCAGTTGGCGCTCAGCTTCTGCTCCTGCTGGTCTTAATACTGTGCTAGTAGTCTTGCCGATCAACTGTGTGCCACCTGTTGTCTCCTACACGTAAGAGGTCTCGGCGGTATTACATTGACTACAATACATTGTGTTAGGGTATAGACAGCCAGTGTGTATATACATGTTAGGATTATATAGAGGTCGAATTACGATGTTGAACTTTCCCAGGATGCAACCCCACAAGCTGACTAATTCCTGGAGACCTGTTTACTGCTAAGTCGAGAACCAACCCGACTGTACTAACAGGACCCTATACATATAAATGCCCGCACAGTAATGGCGCTGACGATTGACCGTGATAGTTTATAATGGTAAATCCTGTTATGAGAATTGTTGTTATGGTAACAATTTAGCAGGAAGACTAGCAACAACAATCATAATGGGACTCCTGGTTGAACCAGGAGTATATGAACTACTATAGCCCGTGCTATATAGAAATGATGTTCCAAGTAACTGAATCTAAAACAACAACAGCCGCCGCCGCCGCCCGCCCTTACTACCACCACCACCGCTACTACTACTATTACTACCACCACTACTACCACCACCACTACCACCACCACTACTACCACCACCACCACTACCACCACCACCACCACCACTACTACCACCACCACTACTACCACCACCACTACCACCACCACCACTACCACCACCACCACTACCACCACCACCACTACCACCACCACCACTACCACCACCACCACTACCACCACTACCACCACTACCACCACCACCACCACTACCACCACCACCACTACCACCACCAACACCACCACCACTAACACCACCAGCACCACCACCACCACTAACACCACCAGCACCACCACCACCGCAGGGTGAGGTACATAATATCTGATCTTAGAAAGAATGCCAACAGTTTTTGAAACTTTTTTTTATATATTTAGAATGTGTCCCTGGAAATTCAGTTTGTGGTCAATGAGAACGCCTCGGAATTTGCCATCTATTTTGTTACAAATTTGGGTATTGTTTATCCTGAGATTTATTTGATTAGAGGATTTATTGCCAAACAGAATATAGAAAGTTTTGTCAATGTTAAGGGTGAGTTTGTTGGCAGTTAGCCAAAGATGGACTTTATTTAGCTCAGTATTCACTGGCATTTAGAGCAAGGGGATCACGACTGGAGTAAATGAAGGTTGTGTCGTCAGCAAATAGAATTGGTTTGAGGTGTTGGGAGGCATTTGGAAGGTCATTAATGTAGATGAGAAAGAGGAGAGGGCCAAGTATGCTTCCCTGAGGAACACCGATGTTGATGGGTAGGGTGGGAGAAATTGAATTATTGACAGAAACATACTGGAGCCTGTCAGTAAGGTAGGATTTGAGGTATTGCAGGGAGTGTCCTCTGACTCCATAATGATATAATTTAAGAAGAAGGTTTTGGTGGTTGAATGTCAAAAGCCTTACGCAGGTCCACAAATAACCCAACAGGGAACTCATTTTTATCAAGAGCTGCATGAATCAAGTTAATCATACTAATAAGTACATCGTTAGTGCTTTTTTTGGGTCTGAAGCCATATTGACAAGTGCTAAGTATATTGTGCTTGGCTAGATAAGAGTAAAGCTGCTTGTAGATTAGTTTTTCAAATGTTTTTGACAAGTTAGACAGGATTGATATAGGTCTGTAGTTGTTAACATCTGTGAGATCACCATATTTGTGGACAGGGGTTACTCTTGCTTTTTTTAGAATATCTGGAAAGGTTTGGAGTTCAAGTGACTTGTTGAAGAGCAATGCAATAGCAGGGGCTAAAGATCTGGAGGCTTTTTTGTAAATTAAAGTTGGTATCTCACATAAGGGGCATAACTGGCCGACCCCTCAGTGTTCAAGAGAGAACTGGATAAGCACCTCCAAAGGATACCTGATCAACCAGGCTGTGACTCATACGTCAGGCTGCGAACAGCCGCGTCCAACAGCCTGGTTGATCAGTCCGGCAACCAGGAGGCCTGGTCGACGACCGGGCCGCGGGGACGCTAAGCCCCGGAAGCACCTCAAGGTAACCTCAAGGTAAGGTCTCCTCAAGGGCACTAGACGTGGTTTTAAGGGAAAGGATTATCTCATAAACATCAGTGGAATTTGAAGGCTTTAGGTACAGAGACTGTGGATAGTTACCTGTAAGATAGTCCTGAACATCAGTACTGGAAGATGGAATGTCATTTGCAAGGGATGACTTTTTGAGATCTTTTTCTTTCCAGCATTTGAGTCTTGCACATTGCAGCTTCCTGGGAAGTAGCCGCTTTCATAGCTGCTGCTCCTATAGCAGCCTTGGCACCTGGGTTATTTTACAGCATTTCTGCAAACGAGGGTCTCCCTGGAAGAAGCTCTCCGTCCGCTTTATTCCCCGTTTCCAGAAGGTTGCTTGTCCCGTGCTGGTTCGAATTCGGACTTTCCCTCAGTTTCCTTCTCTCTTCCTTGGCTTCCTCCAGCTCACTCTGTATTACTGCATGCAATGCCATCACTTCTTTGCTGAAGTCCCCTAACACCTGGGTGACCTGGCCTCTGTATGTGTACTCACCTAGTTGTACTCGCCTAGTTGTGCTTGCGGGGGTTGAGCTCTGGCTCTTTGGTCCCGCCTCTCAACTGTCAATCAACAGGTATACAGATTCCTGAGCCTATCGGGCTCTATCATATCTACATTTGAAACTGTGTATGGAGTCAGCCTCCACCACATCACCCCCTAATGCATTCCATTTGTCAACCACTCTGACACTAAAAACGTTCTTTCTAATATCTCTGTGGCTCATTTGGGCACTCAGTTTCCACCTGTGTCCCCTTGTGCGTGTTCCCCTTGTGTTAAATAGACTGTCTTTATCAACCCTATCAATTCCCTTCAGAATCTTGAATGTGGTGATCATGTCTCCCCTAACTCTTCTGTCTTCCAGCGAAGTGAGGTTTAATTCCCGTAGGCTCTCCTCGTAGCTCATACCTCTCAGCTCGGGTACTAGTCTGGTGGCAAACCTTTGAACCTTTTCCAGTTTAGTCTTATCCTTGACTAGATATGGACTCCATGTTGGGCTGCATACTCCAGGATTGGCCTGACATATGTGGTATACAAAGTTCTGAATGATTCTTTACACAAGTTTCTGAATGCCGTTCGTATGTTGGCCAGCCTGGCATATGCCGCTGATGTTATCCGCTTGATATGTGCTGCAGGAGACAGGTCTTGCGTGATATCAACCCCCAAGTCTTTTTCCTTCTCTGACTCCTGAAGAATTTCCTCTCCCAGATGATACCTTGTATCTGGCCTCCTGCTCCCTACACCTATCTTCATTACATTACATTTGGTTGGGTTAAACTCTAACAACCATTTGTTCGACCATTCCTTCAGCTTGTCTAGGTCTTCTTGAAGCCTCAAACAGTCCTCTTCTGTTTTAATCCTTCTCATAATTTTAGCATCGTCCGCAAACATCGAGAGAAATGAATCGATACCCTCCGGGAGATCATTTATATATATCAGAAACAAGATAGGACCGAGTACAGAGCCCTGTGGGACTCCACTGGTGACTTCACGCCAATCGGAGGTCTCACCCCTCACCGTAACTCTCTGCTTCCTATTGCTTAGATACTCCCTTATCCACTGGAGGACCTTACCAGCTACACCTGCCTGTCTCTCCAGCTTATGTACCAGCCTCTTATGCGGTACTGTGTCAAAGGCTTTCCGACAATCCAAGAAAATGCAGTCCGCCCAGCCCTCTCTTTCTTGCTTAATCTTTGTCACCTGATCGTAGAATTCTATCAAGCCTGTAAGGCAAGATTTACCCTCCCTGAACCCATGTTGGCGATTTGTCACGAAGTCCCTTCTCTCCAGATGTGTTACCAGGTTTTTTCTCACGATCTTCTCCATCACCTTGCATGGTATACAAGTCAAGGACACTGGCCTGTAGTTCAGTGCCTCTTGCCTGTCGCCCTTTTTGTATATTGGGACCACATTCGCCGTCTTCCATATTTCTGGTAGGTCTCCCGTCTCTAGTGACTTACTATACACTATGGAGAGTGGCAAG